CCATGAATTTCATAGGGTTTTCTTAGGCAAGGAATTCTCAGAGATGGTTTTGCTAGATCCTTTGTCTGAAATATAGCCTACAGAACCTGGTATTCCTTGGCAGTCTCCCATTTAAGTACTAAACAGGGCTGATCCTGCTTATCCTCCAAGATCAGACAGGGTCTGGTTCCCTTAGGAAATTTAGGGTAGGTGCACATAACTTAAATTACATGTTGAGGGGTAAGATTAATATGCTTAAGATGAATGTTTTATCACTAATATTGTACGTTCTTCAAAGCATCTCATCCTTCAGATTTACTTTCAGAAAATCAATATTGTTTTAAGGAAATTTATATGGGAATCTTTATTATCCCACTGTTCACTTAAAAGGATGCAGTTGTTATTTTCAGAAGTGGAATTTAATTTTCCAGTCTTGTGTTATATCATAAAGCATACCCTCTGATTTGTAAAACAAAACAAAACAAAACAAAACAAAAAAACAAACAAACCTGGCAAACAGGGCCTAATTCAGATACTGCTCCCCAGGCATTTTGGAATCATCTTACCAGAAACCTCTTTTAGGATGGATTGCCTTAAATTCTATTCATCTAAGGATGAATGCTGCAAACCGCCCGGATTATGCTGTAAACCGCCCGGATTGGGCAACCATTGGGCGGTATATAAATAAATTTTATTATTATTATTATTAAGGAAGGAAGGGACTGTTTCCCCTTGATTTCTGCAGCTAAAATGACTTGGTATACAATATCTTGTCAGTAATAATTAAATCCACATTAATTCTGAACTAACTCATTGCTATTGTTATTTGCTGTTATTTGCTATCAAATCAATTTATGGCTTTGAATGAAGGACTCTCAAGAGCCCTGGGTCATCAATTGCCCTGCTCAGTTCTTACAAACTCAGGGCCACAACTACTTTGACAGTCCAAATGTAATGTGGTCTTCCTCTTTTCTTACTGTCTTCCACTTTACCAAGCATTTCCATTGATTTGTGTCACTTAATGAAATGTCTAAAGTATGATAGCCTCAGTTATTTTGGCTCTTAGTTTAGGCTTCATATGCTCTATGAGTTATTCTTTTGTCTCTTTAGTAGTGCATGGCATCTGTAGAAATCACCTTCACTACCACATTTCAAATGAGCTGATGTTCTTTCCCCTCAGCTTTCTTCACTGTCCAGCTTTCATACTCATACAGAGAATTCAGAAATACTATGTCATGAGTGATTTTTATTTTGGTATTTGATTATATATCTTGAGGATTTTATGTAGTTCCTTCATAGTTGCCTTTCCAAGTCCTCATATTGTTCTCAGCTAATAGCAATTCACATCCCACTAATCAGATGTCAGTTAGTCCACCTGTTATCTTTCCTCCCTGATGTTCTACAAATCACAGTATTTACCTGACACTTTTGATCCTCCTTAGCTGAGAGAGCTGAGTGCACAACAACCTTCCCCAAACTGGTTCCTTTCATATGTATTGGACTAAAGGTAAAGGTATTCCCCATTGACAAGGTTATTAAGTCATGTCCGACCATAGGGAGGTGGTGCTCATTTCCATTACTAAGCTGAAGAGCCAGCATTGTCAGAGACTACTCTGTGATCACGTGGCTATCATGATTGCACAGAACGCTGTTTACCTTCCCACTGAAGTGGTACCTATTTATCTACCTGCATTTGCATGCTTTTGAACTGCTAGGTTGGCAGAAGCTGGGACTAATATTGTAGTATTGGACTACAACTCCCTTATTCCCCAGCTTGTTATCTCAACACAAATTGGGTGAGGGAGGAGGTTGGAGAATGTTGATATAGAGGCATTCTTTGCCATCCCATTGCCTTCTATGACTGCCATCTCCTTTCATTCAATGACAAAGTGGAAGCTGGGATTTCTATTCTTTTTTAAAAAAATAACCTGACAGTGTCATAAATTATTCTAGAATGGCTTAGTATAATGCATGCAGAGGACACTTCCCTCAGTGCACTTCTCATTTAGAGCCAGCAGATGACAGTAGATCATGCACAACAAAGACAAGGCTGAGCTATGCTAACCAGCAAAAAGGAAACACAGTTTTTGGGCATTCAGTTTCAGGAATGTTTTGGCATATATGTGGAGTGTGATTCTTCTTCAGTTTGACAGGTAATGAAAGTAGATTTGAATCAGGCTAGATATGGAACAAAAATCCAAAGAAATAAGTGTTTTACAACTAGTATGTAGAGAGATATTGTAGCACCTTTGAGACTAACTGAAATAAAGTTGGAAGCATGAGCTTTCATAGAATTTTTTGCTGGTTCAAAAAGGATTGGCTTTTTCCCACTTCTTTTTGCATTGGCAAATAGATTGAGCAGCCCCTATCCGGTGGTTTTGTTCGGTCTATTTCATCACTGGCTTAAGTGGAGTTTTTTGGCAGCCCCCCCAAATTTAATTGGATGCATTCAAAATGCATGTGAATAACAAAGATCCAACCAGATTGTTTTTACTGTCTGAATAACCCTTTGGTTGGCTTTAGGCACTATGCATCTTGAGTGGAGTAGGCACCATTTGCTGCTCTGTCTCAGAAAGGAAAGTCTTGAGTTGGCCCTGGAAGCACATAGAAGGACAAAGAGGTGTCTGATGACAAACACGGTCAGACTTGACATGCTTGAGGTTAGTCCTATGGACCTGATCACACTTCATGCCAGAGATTAAGGTTTTTAATTTTAACCCCAAGTGGCAAAATTCAGGTCTCCACATTTGATCAGAGCTCTCTGTTTCCCTCTATGTCCCCCACCCCCCGAGGCTCTTTTACACTATACTATCATATTGTGTTATGATTCCACTTTAGCTGCCATGGCTGAATCCTATGGAATCCAGATTTGTAGTTTGGTGAGGCACTACAATTTTCGTTGGCAGAGAATTTTAAATGCTTCTCCCTAAACTGCAAATCCCAGAATTCTGTAGGTGGACCATGGCAGGTAAAATAGAATCATAGTACCATAACTTTGTATGTGAAAGGCCATCTGGTCTGGAAGACCTGTTATCTCCTTTTGTGGAGAGGTGAAGTAGCAGTATCCTCTCCAAATAGAGTTAACAGCACCTTGTGATGTGATTTAGATTTAGAAAATTGTAAAGGAAGGGACAGAGTTTAAATATGTACCACCCAAACAATGCTGATCTACTTAGTGATCTCCCATGTAATTTGTTGTTTGGCCCCTCCAGTCTACAACTTAACATTGTGATGTTTGCTTTGTGATGTAAATTCCTGGCACGAGATCTGGTCAGTGCCCTTTTCTGTTGGGCATAAGCTCTGTGTCAGTCTAATACCAGATGTAGCAATTATTTCATCTGGGCATGCTACAATAGCATCTGACTCAAAATAGCAGAAGAGAGTGTGTGTAAGAGGGCCTGTGTATTTGGCCAGGGTGACCTAGACTTGAGTTGTCAAGTGACAGGTGTCATTCTGTAAATCAGCTTATTAAACTCACAGGTCTCCCTGCATGCACTTCATTCAATGACAGACACAGAAGCTGCTTGTATGTCTTCAGGAAAAGGGTCACTTTCCTTTGTTTTTTGAGCACTGGCATTATGATCAGGAATGGCAAAAGGTATAGACATCTGGGGAAAAGTGGAACCAGAGCTCTCTGCTCATGGGCAAGAAGTGATCATCAGGTAAGCAGAAGCTGGTGACAGAAATCTGAGAGGCAGCATTCCTGAGAACTTGGCCTAGTCATGTTTTAAAAAACTACCAGGCATGTTGCTAGGAGTTGAAAACTATATGGCCTGATCAGTGAAGAGTGGAAGATAACCTGGCAGGGAAATCTGAGAATGTTAGTTCTTGATCTGCCTTCATTTGTCTGAGCCTCTTTACTGCATATGTTACTGAGGCAAGAGAGTGTTTCAAATACTCTGTAACAAAGCATTTTGACTGACTGCTCTTGTAATTGTCATTATTCAATGAATAATTAACAATGAATAAAAGATAGGATTAGAGCAATCCAGCTTCTATATGTTATGAGAAGCTCAAAGTAATATGATCTGCATTATATCCAGAGGCTCAATCATCAGAGGTTCTTGGACTAAGAAGGCGTACCAGTGTGCATAGATATCCAACAAAGACATCTTTATGCTGTTTTCTCAAGACATGGTTTTGATTTTGTTAGCAAATAGACTCTGGAATGTTGTAAATATCAATGTCATGAGCCAGTGCACTGTGGTGGTAAAAGTGTTGGACTAGATCTTGGGAAATCCCATTTAAACTCTCTACTGAGCTATGAAATTCACTGGGAAACCTTGGGTGGGACCCAGTCAATACCTCCAACCTAACCTACCTCACAATGTTATTATTGGGATAAAGTGTGGTGCAAGACAGCCATATAACACACCGTGAACATAGGATAGAGGAAAAGATATAAGAGGATTTAAATCTAAC